CAAAGCCCTTCAAATTCTACTGTACAATAAAATATGCAACATTACAAAAATATATTATCTTCATTTTAAAATAAGAAAACTAATAAAGATATTACATGCATTTAAAATATCCAAATGAAAAGTCACTGGACCAAAACCTATATGGGTATATACTCTAAGGAAAACAGTGGTATTTCCATGAGGTTATACCTCATTTTATAGTAAATTTACTTCACAGAAAAAAATAAAATTGAGCATCAGTTTCAAACATCAGGATTCTACAAAGAAGCTTCGAGGGTTCCTCAGACGTCTGACATGAATCACAGAGGCTGATTACACATTAACATTCACTCACCTCCCTCGCTGCTACAGGGAAAGAAATCGAGCTGCTTGTATGCAATAGTCCTGGATGAAACAGGGATTGGGAGGCCTGGAGCCCACCTGCTTCCCCTCTCCCCAGTCACCCTTCGTTGTCAACCCAATACACTGAGCACCTCAGAATGCAGTGGAGAATCCTGAAGAAACAGAGGTAGGAGGGAGGCGGAACACTGGGAGATGCCAGCCTCTTGCGAAATCCAGCAGACCCACTTTCCTTCACGGTGCGCTTTCCTTTCCCAAGTTCCCAATTCAGTTTGGCTGACAAGCTAACTTTACTGAAATATACTGAAACAGCTGCTATATCATACATTGCTGGGAGAGTATAAATTGATACAATAGTGTTGGAAGTCAATTTGGCAATATATATCCAAACTAAGAAACATGAAGATCTTTTCACCCAGCAATCCCACTTCTAAGAATTCATCTTACAGATACACTTACTCATGTGCAAAATGACATACATGCAAGGCTATTTATTGCAGCATTGTTTGTAAGAGCAAAGATGAAAACAACTAAAAAGGGAGGCCAAGCTCAAATTCATAGAACTAGAAAGAAAAGTGGTTGCCAGGAGGAGGAAATGGGAAGCTGTTTAGTATGGAGTCGTGGTTTTGCAAGATGAAAACGTTCTGGAAATTGGTTACACAATAATGTGAATATACTTAACAAAACTAAACTGCACATATAAAAACGGTTATGATTGCAAACTTAATGTTATGGGTATTTTTCAAAATTAAAAATAAAAAAAGACTAGTTCAATAAATTATATCTATGCAATGGAATATCACATAATCATAGCATTTGTATAGTAATATGGAATGATATACTGTTAGTAATAAAAGCAAAGTGTAGAACAGTGTGTGAAGGACGCCACCACCAGTTGGGTATTTAAAAAAGATTGAAGAAAGTATATTTACAAAATGAAAACTCCCCATATAATGCGTCTATTGACAACCCCTCAATGGAGAGGCACACGCATACACCACTTTTTCATTAATTCATTCTTCACTAAATAAATCAGCATCAGGCACTGTTAAAGTAATAAAATAAATAGGAACAAAGGTATTATTCTAGTAGCAGTTAAAATGCTCAAGAAAAGTCTAGCGTGGTTCTATAATCATTGGGCTATTACGAGGTCATGTGGAAAGTCTCCTGCTTCCACAGCAACATAAATAGCTATTTCATAACCAAATATTCCTTCAATGCTATCTCTGCTCATGAATGGAAAATAGTAGATACCTAGGCCTATACAGTGGGAAAGCATACATATGAATGTAGCTGCAAATAAAAATAAGTTTCTTACAGAAAATGTATCTACCTGTTTGCTTTAGTAAGTGTGTTGGTTTAAATCTCAAAATATAAATTGACTTTACAGCACCTCTGTATTACTGGAGTGAATAGTGTCCCCCCAAAATTTATATCCATCCAGAATCTGTGAATGTGACCTTGTGTGGAACAAGGTCTTTGCAAATGTAATCAAGTTAAGATGAAGTCATACTGGATTAGGGTGGGCCCTAAACCTAAATCCAGTATGACTGGTGTCCTTAGAAGACGAAATCTGGACACAGAGACACATAGGGAGAATGCCATGTGATGATGGCGGCAGAGATTGCAGAGATGTGTCTACAAGCCAAGGATTGCGGACAACCACCAGAAGCGAGCAAGAGGCAAGGAAGGATCCTTTCCTAGAACATTCAGGAAAATCATAGCCCTGCCAACACCCTGATTTCAGACTTCTAATCTCCAAAACTATGAGATAATACATTTCTGTTGTTTGAAGCTACCCAGTTTGTGGTATTTTGTTATGGCAGCTCTCTGAAACTGATATGCCCCACCCACTCAATTTTGCTCATTCCTTCTCTTTCTTTTCCTTTTTACTCCCCCACAAATTATAGGGGTTTTTTTCTTACCAAATATAGGAAAAGAACAACAGTACCATAAACATCTAGAACATTTTAACAGACATCTAATGTTATGTATTATAAATGGCTCTCAATGTTCATTTCTATAATACTTTCAGGTTATAATCATTAAGACTTAATCCAATACATAGTTTATCTCTCAGCTATAACTTAGCCAAAATTTATTTTCAAACTAAATGCCAATTTACTAAGACTCATATGGCATACTAAATCAAACAGGTAAAGGTACCTGGATCAGCTTTTTATTAAGAAACTACCCTGATGTAGCAATAAAGTTATGTTGAATTTTGTAATAATCTAAATATTATTTAATAATAAATTTCATTTCCAATATCTATGGTATTCTTTTACCATACCATTATATATTTCAAATATCACTGTTAGAAAGTTATATGACTAACAAAATCAAGATTTAAAAAAATGCTTGTAGAGAAAAAGCATTTATTTTATGCATGAAACAGCTATATTCCTCAGATCATAGCTATCCCAGAACCAGTAAGTATAATAATGGAGTCAATATCTTAAGCAAAGAATTATTCACATGTTAAAGAACAGAAGCTATGGATGCCTGCCAGTTATTACATTGAACTTGATTAGAACAGAAATTTTTTTTTTTTTTTTTTTTTTTTTTTTTTT